CCCCCCCCCCCCCCCCCCCCCCCATCATTCCAAGGTATACCTAATTCCTTTCCAGTTTTGGGCAAATTTCAACGACTTTTTACTTTCTAAACATTTAAAGATACTTCCATCCTAATGCTTCTTCGCCTAATCGCATTTACTTCAAATTTAATTCAATTTGTAGGCATTCCCCCTTTTGTGTTTCTCTCCTCACTCAACCAATTCAGAACAATTTTCAACCATCTTAAACATCCTCCATCTCTTCGCCATATGATATGTTCAAACATCCCACCACAACCCAGAAGCTGTTTTAATTGCTTTCTAAATCATGCACGCATGCACAAGTGATCAGATCATCCCCCAATACTATGCTCTATCTATCTATGTATATAAATAAATTCTGAGTATCCATTGCAGCAACATATATGCAAGCAATGTGTATGTGTAGTTTGTGATTTTGGTTGTGGCTGAATGTTTTTAGGTTCCAAACAGGAAGCAGGAAGGCAGAAAAATGAGGGGAAAGCCAATGACTGGTAAACTCACCTTGTTTCTTTGTTTTGCTAGCTTTCTTGCTGGCTCGCTCTTCACTGCCCGCACCAGTATTCATACTAGAGACCCTCAGTTTCTCAACCATCTCGAAAATCTTGAAGCTGCACAAGATTGTGACCATAAACGAGTTAGTTTTCCTAATTTGTACTTGTATTGCACAATGCAAAATCGTAACGTAATGTGATTCTTTCAATTTTTGTTTTTCGGCAGAAATTAGTAGAATCAAGTGATCAGGACATTATGGTGGAAGTTACTAAAACACATCAATCTCTTCAGTAAGGCCAATCGATCTTACCGAAATTTTTTCTATTCTGTTCCATTCTCTTCCTCTTTGTGTTTGTGTTGTGAAGCTTTATTTCACCAGATCTCTGGAGAAAACGTTCGAAAATTGGGAGATGGAAATGGCTCTATCTCGAACGAACGGGAGAAATCAAAGAACGCCGCCGGAGAAGGCGTTCGTAGTGATCGGAATCAACACGGCTTTCAGCAGCAAGAAACGCCGAGACTCGATTCGAGAGTCATGGATGCCTCGAGGTCCGTAAAAACCAAAACCCTAACTCAAATACGAAACTCACTCAGAAATCGGCATCAGATTGAGCAATTGATAACCGGCGCAGGAGACTCGCTGAAGAAACTAGAGAAAGAGAAGGGGATTGTGATCCGATTCGTCATAGGAAAGAGTGGAAGACCTGGTGGAGCATTGGACAGAGCCATAGACGAGGAGGAGGAGGTGCACGGTGACTTTCTGCGGCTGAGGCATGTGGAAGATTACCATCAACTATCGACGAAGACTCGGCTGTATTTCACCACCGCAGCGTCGCTGTGGGCGGCGGAGTTCTACGTCAAGGTTGACGACGATGTTCATGTGAATTTGGGTAAGTGAAAAAAAAGTCGTCGACTTCCTTAAAATTACAAATTTAATATTCTAAATAACTTAAAAAATTACAAATTTATCAAATACTTTTCAAATTTAAAAAATCAATATTAAATATAAACTTGAAAATTGAAAATTGAAAATGGCGGTTTTGTGCGTAGGTGCGTTGGTGTCGGCCCTCGAACGGCATCGGTCCAAGCCCAGGATTTACATGGGCTGCATGAAGTCAGGCCCAGTTCTCTTTCAAAAGTGAGTTTGTATTATTATTTTCTTAATGAAAACTTAAAAAAAGTTCAATTAGGGGAGTGGATTAATATACGGAAGATAATGGAAATGAACAGGGGACTAAAGTATCACGAGCCAGAGTATTGGAAATTCGGAGAAGAAGGGAACGAGTATTTCCGGCATGCCACTGGTCAAATCTATGTCATTTCTAAAGACCTTGCTGCCTACATTTCCCTTAATTTGTAAGTCAATTCAACCTCGGTCTCCTTTTTTTGTTTTCATGCTAACACTAGTTTTATTTTATTTTATTTTCAAATTAGTCCGATACTACATAGATATGCAAACGAAGACGTGTCGTTGGGAGCTTGGTTCATTGGGTTAGAAGTGGAACATGTGGATGATCGTTCAATGTGTTGTGGGACACCTCCAGGTAAGACGTTATATCTATCTCCTTCAATCATAATACCAATTCAACTCATCGTTGAATGCTCGAATTATGAGTTTGTTTGGGTGAATATCAGATTGCGAACCAAAATCGAACGGAGGGAATGTGTGCGTGGCAACTTTTGATTGGTCGTGTAGTGGGATTTGCGAATCGGTAGACAAAATGAAGGAGGTCCATAAGTTATGTGGAGAAGGCAATGCAGCTATTTGGAACGTTGACGTTTAATGTCATTGTTATCCATTTTCACTTCATGCTTGTCCACTTATAATAACATCGATGAACTTCCCATTCAGAATGCCAAAGTCGTCGCTTTTGTACCTTGCATCAATCAATGAGCATCTATTTAATCTCTTTTCTTTTTGTTTATTATTTCTGGTTTTTTCCTTAATATTATTTTATTTTTATTCATTTCATATATATATATATATATATATATATATATACCAGCTTGTGGACCGACTGATGGTGTGTGAACCGACTAGGAAAATGAACTTAGAAAGTGTGTGAACCGACTGATGGACCTATACTTGCACATGAGGATCGTGTCAAGGGAATACAAACCAAAAGATTAGGTCTCGTTCATAATTGTATGTGCTTCCATCTAACCCCATCAGTATTGAGTATTTCTTAAAATACTCAAGTCACGTGCTATTTCTATTTTAGGTTAAGGCAAGATACTCATGTACGACTGACGACGACATCACAAATCGAGACCATGACACATTCATAGGATAGATGTATTTATTTCCCTAGACTTGGGTTATAAAAGGGGTTTTTTTTTTTAATTTTTATTTATTATTTAATATTTCGGTAGGTTGTTTTGAAAATGTTTCGAACACGTAAGTCCATGGTAGTATTTTAAGACAAAGTTTTAAATGATTATTTATGTAAGTCCATGGTACTCGTGAGGAGGCTGATCTCAAAAGGGGTGGATTAGAGGGTTCCACTTTAATTAAAGAAGGGACCAAATGCGAGTGAGTAAGCTAGACTTTGAAGATGGGTGGATTATTAGATAATTTTTATAAGGATGTGAGGAAGCTAAGCTCAAAAATAAAAACGAACCATTACATTTATTTTTTAAAAAATTAAAAAAAAAAATACATGTATTTAAGTTTTTTAAGTGAGTAGTAAAAGAAATTGGAGAAGTGTCGAGAAGATGCAGGAGAATCCTGAATTTCTCTGTTCCAATCAAATCCTGAAACTGCAAGAATTGTCCAGAACCCCGAAGAACAATGCCCAAATACATTCCTCTTTTCCGTCTCTTCCACTTATAAATAAATTTCTCTTCATCATCCATCCTCCAACTCCACCGAAAATGGCAATATCCAAAGCAAAGAAACCAGCACTTTTGATGTTCACTCTTCTTCTCCTGACCTCATCAACAGCCTCGCTGCTTCCATTCTCCGACCCATTTGGGATTCTCGAGCAAACCCCTTTTAGCTTCCAGAACGAAAACAGAGATGCTCTGCAGCACCCACTCCAGCCCACCAGAGTGGACTGGAAGGAGACGCCGGAGAGGCACGTGATCATGCTGGATGTGCCTGGGCTTAGCAAGGACGAGCTGAACATCGAGTTGGACGACCAAAACAGGGTCATCAAAGTGATGGGAGAGAGGAAAAGGGAGGACCAAAAACAGAGCGACCACTGGCACCGAGTCGAGAGAAGCTATGGCAAATTCTGGAGGCAGTTTCGGCTGCCCAGAAATGCGGATATGGAGTCTGTTAGAGCACGGCTGGAGAATGGGGTTCTCACGGTGACGTTGTCCAAGGTCTCCCCGGAGAAGGTTAAGGAACCCAAAGTGGTCAGCATTGAAGAACCGCGGGCGGAGATGACCAAGTCGGGCGGAGCCAAGCAGGAGCTCTGACAAACCAACTTTCTTTTCTTCAGTTAATGTGCGATGTTTTGAGTTGAAAGTTTGAATGCAGTGCAGTGTGTGTAAAATAAAGAAGCAAGTTTGTGTTATGAAATACTTTCGATGTAGAAAGTTAACAAATTTTTCCGCCACAACTCTCATCGATACTAATACTAATACTAATGGAGAGAGTATTCAACATCTTTTCAAAGTTGTAACTTTATTTTCATGGGATACTTGGTCAGTTGTACTCTGCCATCTTATATTGCTGCAATACCTTCTAGGCCAATTGCTTTAGTATAATGCATTCTTTCATTTGGCCACAACTCTCATCGAAACTAATACTAATACTAATGGAGAGAGTATTCAACATCTTTTCAAAGTTGTAACTTTATTTTCATGGGATACTTGGTCGGTTGTACTCTGCCATCTTATATTGCTGCAATACCTTCTTAGCATAGGCCAATTGCTTTAGTATAATGCATTCTTTCATTTGGTCTACTTTAATATAGAGGTTGTACTTGAGTAATCCAAGATCAGTCATCATATGTTACTTGAATTCTTTGATGTCTTTCGTACTTAACCAGTGACGATCATATGTTACTTGAACTCTTTGATGTCTTCTATACTTAACCAGTGATGATCAAGTCATCAACATTCACGCCAACTATGAGTGTTTTAGCTCCATTATTTCTTGTATACACTGCTTGTTCTTGCAAGCACTTCATGAAATTTAGACTCTTTAAGCTCTTGTCTAGACGTATGTTTCATGCCCTCAATACTTGCCGTAAATCGTAGAGGGTCGTTGACAAATTGTACACTATGTGCTCTTCGATTTTGATAATGAACCCTTCAAGTTGGGGAACATACACTTCTTCTTGGAGGTCACCATTTAGGAATGTTGATTTGACTTCTAAGTGATGGACCTCCCACCCATGTTGAGCTGCAAGGGCAAGAATCAACCTTACAGTGTCCAGTCTAGTCACAGGCGCAAAAGCCTCCTCAAAATCAACTTCTGGTCGTTACACGTATCCCTTCACCACGAGTCTTACTTTATGTTTGATGACATTTCATTCACTATTATTCTTCAACTTAAACACTCATTTCAAACCGATGAACTTATGTTTGGACGGTAAGTTAGTCAGTACCCACATCTTGTTCTTCTCAATGACTTTAAGATCTTTTTGCATGGGTTTCTACCACATTGTCTCAATTGCTATCTTACAGTAAGTTGTTAGCTCCTCGTCCACGGCAACATTAACTTGTTGAAATTCAATTCTTCTTCAAGTGTATCCGCATAAATTTCAGCAAGAGAATGAAACTTCTTTGGTCCACCATCTCTTGTGGATCCTCCTATGCTCTCGCCTGAGCTCTCTTGTTCTAAAAAATTCATCACGTCTTTCGGTGTCACTTGTGATGACATGTGTGGATTTGGTGTCATTGTCGATGCACTTTCTAGGCCTGTTGCGTGTCCCTCTTCTTCCTGGGCAGTGAACTTTGTAACAGTCTATTTGTTATTATCAACGTTGCATAAATTCCTCTTCTTCTCTTATTTGAATACGACATCTCTACTTACATGAACTTTCTCATGTTGCGGATCATACAACCTATGTGCCTTAGTCTCATCCTCTACGCCAAAGTACACCAACTGTTGGCTTATGTCATCAAACTTTTTGGTATATGGCTTTGCAGTCTTAACATGGGTTGTACAACCGAATACTTTTAGGTACTCGAGGTGAGTTGTCTTGTCGAACCATGCTTCGTAAGGGTTGCGGTGTCCAGCGCCTTTGTCGGTAAGCGATTTAGAAGATAAGCCTCATGTCCTATTGCCTAAGCTTTCTCCATAAATTAGCAACTACTTATGAATAAGATGTACACTAATAGATTTCCTAAACTTTCTCCACAAATTAGCCTAACACTCCTCTCACCCAGAGGCTAACAATTTTCCTAAACTTATTGAGTTAACTTATTAAGTTAATAAGAAATGATTAAGTTATGCATGAAAAGGAATAAAGGTATAACTTGCATCATAGATACATGTCATGATTTTTAACTATGGGACCTCATGCATTTTGTATTTTTACATGCATCAAAATGCTTCTCCGCTATAAATAATACGGATTTGAGTGTATGTTAGTTCAAGGCCAAGTCCAAGGGGTATGTATACGAGCCCGCCTTAAGCCCATGTGCGTGTACTTGAGTCGTGTGTAAAGAAGTACTAGACATATAATTCTAGCCATACTGGAAGTTGAGACCAAGGTCATGTTATGATGTTTTATAAAAGGATAGATCTCGTGTGACTACATTTCTTGACCCAATAGTAGAATTACTTACCCAATATTTCTTAAAATACTAACCGTTTAAAAACCTACCCAAACCTAAATGGCACAAATTACTTCCAAAGTGAGCTCGAAACGACATCTCCTACCCTAAACTCGAAAAATTTACCATATTTTTAACTTATCTCTTTACCGTCTTCACGGTGGTTCGGGTTTCAAATTTTTTTTTTTTTTTTTTGTAAAGATAGTCGTCGCAATATATGAATACATGTATGTATATATATTGGGTTGTGTAAAATGAAGGATTAGGTGATACGTAGAAAGTTGGAATTGTTGACATTCTTTGCGTCAAATTTAATTCCATTTCTGATCATCATTCTGTATCCTCCTCGATTCCGTTGTTGGGTTGAAGCTCTCATATTTACGTCATTCAAATTTTCAACCATTCCTTCTTTTTATCATTTTCTTTCTTTCTCTAAATTTCTCACAATCCTATTCTAACATCACTCCATCCCTTTCAAACTTTAATCCAATTTTGAGCCAATTCGATTTCATTTTTTAAGTTATGGATTACAGACAGATTAGTAACGGTTTATATAGGACGTAGAGCTTAAATATTCATTAGTTTGATTATTTGAATCCCCTACATACAACATGATCGCATCACCTACTTCTCGCTTCTTAATTTACTCCAACATGAGTAGTTTTAGCATGCATGCTTTGTCCTCACTCGCATACATATTAAGAAAATTTCTAGAACATCACCTAGTACACAATTCATACAAGTAAAACATGTTTGACTATAAAGTTCCTATAATTGAGCCACTGAAAAAGGAAAGTACATCTTATTAGTCTCCTTCTTTACTCGGGTATCAAACATAAAATATAGAATTGCACCAAATCAAACTAAAAAAGAAGTGCACCGTTTTAATATAGATAGTGACTTTCAACATGGTCTCAATCCATTTATGTACGGATTTAAAATATTATAATTAGAGAATTTTATAAAATTATAAGTAGCATTTATGAGGTATTATCAAAACCCTCGGAAATTGATAAAATTTGTAATTTATCATGTTTGTTATACACCATAAATCATAGCATCCACACTTTTAATGTGTATGAGATAAGGTTTTATTTGTTGGTTCTGGGTAACAAGTTTTAAAAAATCAGAGTTCGTGTAAGGAACGAAAAATTAACTTAGGTACAAAAATCGTAGCTTCAAAATCATTTGTATTCAGATATAGTTTCGATTCATCTATGTAACTCTCATTTATCGAATATCACATAAACTAAAGTCGGTCATGTCAAACCAATATGTAAACGCGTAGGGAGAGTTGACAAAAAGGCGAGGGCGAGGGCGAGGGCGAGGAAGGGACGGCAGGAGAGATAAGGCGTAGAATTAAATCAAAGAGTGGCAAAATCGAGGTCATAAGGTGAAGGGTGTGTCACATGCGAGAGAGGTAAACCCTAGGCACTTCAATATTATTGCTCCCTCCTCCTTTCACTGCCCTTTTCTCCGTTACATTTTTTAAAAAATGAATTATTATTAAAACTATATATTAAAACTATATATTAAAATAATGCGGAATATTCCAATTTCATATTATATAATAATACTAACATTGCTTTGGGAGCAATCTAATATCCTTTATTTTATTATTCTCATTATTTTCCTCTCTCGGGATCGTTTATTCATATTTTTAATTCCAAATTGCAAACCCTAATATTAATATATAGTTTAAATCAATCCCAACTCTCAACCCGGCGCGTGTGTCTACTCTCTCTCATTTACATTGCTATAGGCCTTCTCCTTCAGTTTTCTTGTGTTACAGATAACCTCAGAATTTATGTCCCCAACATAAAACCCATTTATAAATTTCTTTTTTTTTTTTAATTTTTTTGTTTGAGCCACTGGAGAAAAGGTTTCGATCACTCTCATTTAAATATGGTTTCGATTCATTTATATACCTCTCGTTTACTCAGATGTCACATGAATCTTATCACTTCCTGTGAAATTTTGGTCACCCCGACTAATTGATTTATAATTAAATTAACGGGGAGTTAATTAAAAGATTTGGAGGCACACGCTCCAAAAGTGGAGGTGGAGAAGAGATATGACATAAAATAGAGTTGGTTGTGTAGTAAACTACAGCTAGCAAATGAGAAAAACCATCCCCTCATTCCTTATGCTTCCTTTTTACGATAACTTTAACCATCTCCGCCGCCGTAGTCTCCGCCCGTCAACGCTTCTCTTTTTCATTATAACCTCTCCTCTTCTTCCCCCACCTTTTGACTCTCCTTCCATATTTATACCCCTTCATCACCTTCTTCTACAGTCTCTCCAACCCTATATTTCAATCCAACCATACTTATCATTACTGCACCTAAATGGCCTCCACGGGCGGTACCGGCGTTCCTCCAGGCTTTCGGTTCCATCCTACCGATGAAGAGCTACTTCACTACTACTTGAAGAAGAAGGTCTCGTTTCAAAAGTTTGACATGGACGTCGTACGTGAGGTCGACTTGAACAAGATCGAACCCTGGGACTTGCAAGGTAATAATTACATGTCTTAAAATTTTGAGACAGAGAGATTCAAATCTTCTAATTTTTTAAGACGTTAATCGATCAAATGAAAATTAGGAGGAGGTGACATTTTTTTTTTTGGGTGGTATTAATTCTCGGCAGCAACGTAACGAAACTGCTGTTGCAGCTCACGAGTTCATTTTTTGGACTCCTTTTTATTAATTGAAAATTATATTGGCTATATCCTAATATTTACCTTGTAATATGTGCATCTCAAATCTTCCCTTTTACCTATGCATTCCTTTTCTTACCCTTCTTTTTTTTTACTATTTTTTTTTTACTCCCTTAGAAAAAGAACTCATCTCGATCAAATTCGAGATATGAACTTACAATTCTTGGTTTACATTAAAGAAAAATTTGTTGAAGTAAATGAGTGTTGAATTTGGTTATTGGTGGTGATCAGAGAAATGTAGGATAGGGTCGACGCCACAAAACGAGTGGTATTTTTTCAGCCATAAGGATAGGAAGTACCCAACAGGATCGAGAACGAATAGAGCGACGAATGCCGGGTTTTGGAAGGCAACTGGACGAGACAAGTGCATTAGAAATTCTTATAAGAAGATTGGAATGCGCAAAACCCTAGTGTTCTATCGTGGGCGAGCTCCTCATGGCCAGAAAACTGATTGGATCATGCACGAATATCGTCTCGAAGATGCTGATGATCCTCACTCCAATAACAACTCTGTGAGTACCCCGAACGCTCTCTTGATTCTTTGTTGTAATTATTATCGAGAGTCACTTATGGAGGGTGTACACGTGGCAGGAGGATGGGTGGGTGGTTTGTAGGGTTTTCAAGAAGAAGAATCTTTTCAAAGTAACAAGGGAAGGGGAAGGAGGGTCAAGCGCCAACTCCGCCGACCACCACCTAAACAACGCACACTCATCAGCCTCCATCGCTACATCACGCACCTTCATGCACAACCAACTACGCCAACCACAACAAAACTACGCCACACACCCCACATTCGAGCTCAACAAATCCGACCTAGCCCTACACTACATGCCAACCACAGCCCCATCTTCCCATTTTTCCCATCCCCTCTTTCACCCCAACATTTCCACCCTCAACCACAAGCCCCTCGGCAGCACAGCCGCTGCTTACGACTACCCGTCGCTATCCTCGCTGCCACCCGACACGCCGCTGATGGTCAAGCAATTGATGTCAAACCCAGAGACGGACCAACCGGGTGATGGGATGACTGAGCCATGGGCCATGTTGGATCGGCTCGTTACATCTCATTTAGGGAATGAGGATTCGTCTAAGGATGTGAGGTTCGAGGATGAAAATGGGTCATCGTCGGTGAGTCAAATCAATCAACTTTCGCTTCGAGGGGAGATGGACTTTTGGGGGTACGCTAAGTAAGTGAAAAATGTTGTTGACTTATGTATGGGTATGTATATGTGATGATATGAATTGGAACCAAATAGAAGAAGACATGCATGTAGGTGGGATGGATTTGTTTGTTGCGTTTGATTTTAGGTTTGATTGATTGTGCAAAAATTGTTGGTTCAACATTTTCAATAATATTATTTGCGTCTCTGGCTGTAATTGTAACATCGAAATGCATAGCGAGAGATTATGAGAGCATTCTTCCCAACACTTTTTGTTTCATAATATGTTCTTAGTTTTAATTTCTTATATCATTTTAAGTTCTTCATTCATGTTCTAAATGGTATATAAACTGGATCATACAAGAAAGTAATTCAAGTAACAACTCATGTCGAGTATTCAGATTGCAAATTCTAAGTGTGTGGTATTATAAATGGTATTAAAACGATACCTCCCACTAAGATTTGATTCGGGAACGAACCAAGACAGGAAGTGGTGGGCATGTGACGCCCGAGTAAAAAAGGGATACATGAATGAACAAATGCCACATTTGAATGAGAGCAACTTGAAAAAAATGAAAGTTACTACTATATCGTCAACAAGGTACATGTCCTTTTCAATGGCTCTTAGAGGAACTTGATAATTAAATGTGTTTTTCTTGAAGCAATTCTAAGTTTGGTGACGGCATGTGAGTAGAGACAAACCATGCTGGAAAGACTTGTATTAGTTTGTGGGGATAATCTTCACTCTTAAAAACAAATAGTAAGTAATGTGGTCAAATCACAAGAAAATGCCGAAACCATCACGTACCAAATCCAGATTTCAAATCTTAGATATAGGGTGTTACACATAAAATTTGTGTTTATTTTTACCCCTTTGAAATAGTAATGCTATAACATTGAACACTTGTCAGTCATTGGCTACTCAATACTCAATATGAAAACAATAAGAATAAATGGTTCACCGAATCACGAACCGCTACATATTCGATAGAAAGGAGATGTAATGAAAATACTCATTTAACTTATTTGATTCTTTTTTTATCTTAGAAGCCACATAATTAGGTCGTCAGCTCAGCTGTCTGACACTAACTTCTAATTCTTTGTCACGGTTCCATTTTCGAGTCTTCAATTCTCGGACCATGACTAAAAGACAAGTCAAAAGCAAATAAAATAAAATATAAAAATACGGTAATTTTAAATCAAATTAAAAACAAACGACACAATTAAAAGAAAAACGAAATCTAATTACATGATGATGTTATTTAAGTTTATTACAAATGGTGAAACAGGTTCGGGGTACAATTACAGAACGAAATACAAAAGACGAACTGACGCTATGGAACAAATCCCTATGTGACTATGTAACCCTCAGATACTTCCCCACTGCGACTGTAGTCTGTGAACACTTGAAGAAAAAAAAAAGGAAAAGGGTGAGTGTAAAAATACTTAGTAAGCAACACCTACTTGTAAACTCTCATTGCATCCTTAACCTAATAAGTTACCAAGTTTTTCTTTGGCCTCTAAGAAGTTCAAGCCTACTTTTAAGGAATTCCAGATTGTTTTAACACACGATAATGGTACCTATCATTAGCTAAACTATTTATGTAGCCCCTCATCCCCTCTTGAGACTGGTTTACAGGCTATCAACCAGCTTCTACACACAATAGTAGCTCCTTAAGTTAACTACTCATGTTGTCCCTCGTCCCCCCCTCACGACTGGTTTATGAGCTCTCGACTCGCTTCTACACAATAGTAGCTCCTTAAGTCAACTATTTGTGCACTATCTTGTTCTCTCTCGGGGATGGTTTACAGGCTCTTGACCTGCTTCTACACACAATAATAACTCCTCAAATTGATACCATCCATGTTGCTCATGATCTTGTAAGTTCTGTTAAATTTTCACTGAGTACCATAGATGTTTACTAGGTTCTTAGAGGCGTCTAGGTAATTTAAATCTCATCTGACATTTCTAGAATGCTCGAGATTAGCTCCTCGAGGCTAATTCAATCTCTGGGTGCACTCAGGTCTAGCTAGACCTCTTATTACAGGTCACGATCCTAGGGTGCTTGGTCTACTGAAAAAGTATTGACTTAGGTCAACGTAAAAATCGCTCTAGCTCTAGCACCTTAGTCTTAACTTGGTTCATTCATGCCTCCTTTAATAAGGAGTTATTCCTATCAATTACCTAAAATACAGAAAACACCTCTCTTGACACGTGTCACCTACCAAGTTAATGTGTTATCTTTTGTTTTCTTTTTTCCTTTCACGTGTTGATCCTGACTCGATTACCTAATTCCTTGGCCAAAGTGGAAGTGTTAAATTATGTTTGTCCAATTCTTATTCGGTTAACTATGCATATAAACACTAAGAACTATTGCTCTTGTTCTGTGTTATCTATTTCATATTTGTTTATGCTCCCACTTCAAGACGTTCAAACATTGCTCTCTCCCATCACTTTGATGACCCTGTTTTGGTCGTCCAACTCGATGTTCATCAGCTCCTCCTTGCTAAGCCCAGGCACATCCAGCATGATCACGTGCCTCTCCGGCGTCTCCTTCCAGTCCACTCTGGTATGCTGGAGTGGGTGCTGCAGAGCATCTCTGTTTTGTCCTCCAGTAAAGCTACATAAGGGAACGTAAGGAAACCTCAAACTTCACTCCCAAGACTTCATTTCAGCTAGTAAAGCTAAATAAGGAAACGTAAGGAAACCTCAAGTTTGTCCTCCAGTAGTAAAGTCATCACGGTATTGGCCTCTTCGTGGCGGTGCTTGGCGACGGTGTGGAGGAGTGAGCTAGCCTACTCGAACCTGATAAAATGGTTGGGTCGAGCAGTTCCTCAGCGGACCATGGTACGATAAAAAAAAGAAATGCCGCTTTAGGATCGCGCTGAGAAGCATAAGCTGTGATCATTACAGAAGCGGACCAGCTTGAAGGCCAATAACTGTGTTTGCGAGTGACCAACAGAAATGAGGAAGCCTTGGAGTTGCTTTGTGATTGAGTTGACACACTGCATTGTTCAAGCACTGCCGCAACTAATTGTTTCAAATAAGGTAGGATTTGACCCGATGCCATAATATGCAAAAAAGTCTTTGGATTATTAGTGGGATTTCTAATGGGGTTTTTTGTTTTTGATTCTCAAAAGTCTTTGTTTCCCATGGAAATTTGAAATAAAATCTGAAATGGGTTTGGAACTTTTCAATATTTGAAACATTAGGATTGATGGGATTAATAGAAGTTAGAGTTACAGTTCATTATTAGATTCGACGAAAAAAGTACAAAATTCAGACAGAAATCATGGAGAAAAAAGATTGAAGCTGTTTTCTTGCCCTGTTTTCTTTCCCAAATCCCACATTCCTTCTCATCCTCTCAATCTTAAAATATTCCTCACCTTTCTCTCTCTCTCTCAATAAATTAACGCGAAGTTTGTATTCTTTCATTTTAGGCGCACTTTTTCCTCTACTTCTCTCTCTCACTCGCTTTCTCTTTCTGTTCTCTAGATTTAGAGCTTGTACTGTATTGAATTTCTTCTGGATTCTTGACCAACTATCTTATTTGTTTATCCGTTTGAACTATATACAAATTTGTACATGTCTGGAAGTGGTGGAACTGCGATTTTCAAATGGAAGAAATTGAGGGCAATAAGGCTGCTCTGCTTCTCCAATCACAGTCACCGTTTGACCCAGATTTGCCCCATTTCGACCCATCTCAATAATCTTCATGCTTCGAGTTATCGCCGCCGGGAATCGTTTATCGGCGTTCAGGAGCGTTATAAATGGGACAACGGCGGGTCTGGTTCTGATGATTTCCATTCACAGTCCTACAACACAAGCACCCCAATCCGTAAGATTCGGGCCGAGGCTAATTGTCCACGTTGCTCTAAGCATATGGATATTCTCTTTTCCAACCGCCATTTCCCAACCCTTAATCCCCCTTCTTCTTCTCTTCCATCTTCTTCCGATGCTCCTCCGAACCGAAAAGAAGCTTACGAAGCTGTTAATTTGTGTCCCAATTGCAAGACCGCTTACTATTTCCGCCCTTACAAGATCGCTCCTCTACAGGGCAGTTTCATCGAGATCGGCAATCTGAATTCCAGACCGAAGAATTCCTTAGAAAGAAGAATTACTACCAAAGATGGTAAAGGTAATGCCATCGCCGGTTCTCCAGATGAAAATTATGTGAATAGTAGGTTGAGAGTCTCGTTTTTCGAAACTGCAAGATTGTATGGTGGAGAACCGCCTGAGAATTGGCCTCCTGGACCGCCTCCCGTTAATGGGCTGGCGGTGCATTCTCCTCCAGGTCCGCCATATGCGCCTGGTGTGAACTTCATTCGTGCTACAGGTCCTGGTGGAAGCACCTCGGGTTCGGGTGGAAATGGCGCTGGTGATGGGAAGAAGAGTGAGTGGGGAGGATCGAATTTGGGGAAGGATCTACCCACTCCTAAAGAGATTTGCAAGGGCTTGGACAAATTTGTTATTGGCCAAGAAAAAGCCAAGAAGGTTTGCATATGATCTAATGAACTTGTTATTAGTGTGCATGTTATCGGTGGTTGCATAAGAGCGGACATATTTAGTTTAAAGCCTCACAAGGGATGTTGCTTTCATAAACTAGCTATCTTGCTTGTCATATTTTAATTTCTTTTTACATATCTTCAGTTTCTTGGTCTTTGAAGTTTGACCACCATCTAGCACGTTGATAACCAGGAGTGAGTGAGTGTAAACTATGATATGCAGTGCTGAAGACATACTTTTTATCCAAAATTTAGGTGATTGTTGCAACGAGCGAGAAGTGATATCAGCGTGCTCTGATTTGTTGCATTATTAGTTTATGAGCTGTTGTAAAATTTCAAAGATAGCTTTCTTGATCTTTCACAGGTACTTTCTGTGGCAGTACATAACCATTACAAACGAATATATCATGCTTCCTTGAAAAAATGGTTGGTTTTTCCTTCAACTTTTGCATTAAGAATTATCTTGCCCTTCAGTCTGTGTCCATTAGTAACTAGCTGCTACTGTTGTTGTGGATTCATGTAGCGCACCAGGAATTGAATCAGAAACCCAAGATATGATAGATGATGATGATAACGTGGAGCTTGAAAAGAGCAATGTTCTCTTGATGGGTCCAACAGGCTCTGGTATGACCTCTTGCACTTATCAAGTTTCAATGTACTGACACTGGTTGTCATTGGCATGATATTAAGCATCCACAATGTGTCGGAGTTCTTTCTAATTTGCAAATCCTAAAATAGGGAAGACGTTACTTGCGAAGACTTTAGCTCGCTTTGTCAATGTGCCATTTGTCATTGCTGATGCTACAACTTTAACACAGGTGAATTTCTTTCTTCCCATTTTTTCCTCTGAATGATTTGTAGAAAACAATAAAAATCTGATGTTCATTTGTTCACCATGAATTTCTGGCATGTTCTAACCATCTTCTTATGCTCCTTTTCCTTTTTGAATAAGGTCGCCTATTTAGGACTTCCTCAACTTCATAAGTTCTTAATGGAGCCATTTCTTCATGAGAGCTAAACTCAAGCCTTGCCTCACTGATAAAAATTCATAGTTTTTTGGGGCTAGGAATGTTCTCTGCATTTTACAGCTTTGCTGATATGGTATTTTATTTTATTGACACAAGGGGTAGCTCAATTGCAGCACAGTTCTTGGGATGGTTGGGTAGTCCTTAGGTTGAAACTCAACAAGGTAAGACGGCAGTAACTGAATGGTAAAGAATGGGAGAGAGGTTTCTTGTCAGATGGAGAAACCCTAAGTCCTAACTTTGTGATATTATTTCTTTATTGTACCCATACTTGATGATTGGCTACTTTAAACCATATTTGAAGGTGGAAATTATGATTTTAAAATGTTAGGAAACTTCACATATTTATCTCAAAAATCGGACATTTCCAGTAGCTTTACTAGGTCTGGAGTATCGAGTTTTGCTTCCATAGAGAAGTCCTTGAGAGCCAGGATTGAGAAGTTTTTCCAATTTTTCTTTTATGAATGATAAATACTGCTTTGAACCCAAAGAACTACGTTAGTAACTAATGTGTGAAGGATATCTTACTCGAACTAGAATGAAAGTTGTGGACAATGAATATAGACCACTTGTTATGATATATGTATTTTCCTTCATGACCCGCATTGAGATTGGGTGGAAGATTATAATTCTCTATGCAATTAATTAGCCCTAATCCACAAAATGGAAGTAGACTTTGTGCTGAAATTTAATGAGAAAGAAAAGAGAACTGTATGGTTAAGGTATTGGGTACTGTGGCTCAAATGGCATCAATAAACCTTCCAGTATTAATCCACTTCTCTTCGAAGAGATATGTCTTGGTTGTTGCCTGAGGTGCCTAAAGCCAGATTGTTTTGGGGTTACATGGTTTGTTTGGAGGAAGAGAAGAAACCGATGTCTCTTTCAATATTTTCACCGTTTATCCCTAAAAAATTTCAATATATCCACTCGTTCTTAGAAAACAATGGAGACCGATCGTTTCTTTACGTCATATCCCTTGCTTGGAGGTTATGGGAATCCTTCGGAGTTCTTGAACTTTCTTCCTTCATTGGTAGAAGGTCTTCTATACCTTTACTTTTTCCTACCCTACGTGGAAACAATCATAAAATCCTTTGGGAGATGTATGTGCTGCTCTACTCTGGGGTAACTGGCAGATGAAAGCGTTATTTTAGGGATTTAATTCAAATATAATAGTTAAATTATTTTAAATTTATTTATTTTTCTTTTAAAATAAACAAATATAAATATGAAAATGTATAGCCATTGTAGGCTACTTCATATTTTCTTTTGAGAAACACTTATGCCCTAATGGGATTAGTAGTTGTCATTCTGCTAGGTTTCCAGGGTCTTTCTCCTCTAACTTAGTTGATAAAGAATTCTCTTAGGTTTCTCAATTCCTCTCACAACTGGGAGGCCTTTTCGTAACTTCCTTGGTGGGCCTTTGGCAATAATTCTTCTCTCCTCTAGGTTGTTAATCTGCTTATGCATATACATTCTATGAGGTTTTTTATTAGTATATTTCTGCACTTGCTCCTTTATCTGAAAAATTCAACTATGTGGTTAGGGAATGTGATGGTTATCTGATAGAACAGGGTTATGATTTACAAATATGAGTATGAAGATGTGGAAGTTTCTGGATTGAATTAAATTCTTTACTTATCGTTGGTGTAGGAATGATAAGACCTTGTATATTGGAATTTCTTCTCTTTATTTTCCTGGTCATATTTTCTATAATTAAAATTATCTTTTGAGCGTTGAATCCTTATATTTTTTAATGTCTTCTCTTGGTAGTTTAAACAGTCATCTTCTCTACAATAAAGCTTTCTTTAAAGGGTGCCTTACTATTTTGGTTGTTTTTTCTAATAAGGGAGGTGGAGATAATAAGAGTTGAAACAATCCTTTAATTTGGTTATAGATAACAAGAGACACATTGCTTTAATTTGCCTCATTTTTCATGTGCTCCAAGCCTCCAACACTAGTGTGAATAATTAATTTTTATTTGACAATACAATCTTAGTTTCTTCCCAGAATAATAAAGGTTTGTTATTGAATTACGAGAGGATGCTAATTTTGCAGGCTGGTTATGTTGGAGAAGACGTTGAATCAATTTTGTACAAGCTACTTGCTGTAAGCTTCATGTTTTATTTCCTTTAAAAAGACTTCGTACTTAACAATTTAACTTGTAGCTAAGTGATTTTATCAAGTCGTGTATAAACTTTGACGCCATTCATCTCTGCCTTGAATAGTACATTTATTTGTTTTATATTTCTGCAAAATGGTTGGTTTTTCTTCCTTTCGTTTTATTATTTTATCGTTTGATTTTTCAAAAACATATATGTCGTTCAACTTTCCATAGAATGTAATCAATATGATGCTGGACAATTAACTGGGGAAAGAGTGCTAGTTTCTAAGAAGGGTGTTTATTAATTCATAAACTTTGAGATCAAGAAATTGCTCTACTCCTGTAAAGATGAAGGAATAAAAAATTGGCCAAACCTATTTGTAGTTAAATAGGAAACTACCAATAATTTTGATTTTGTGATCACCTTGCTATTAGGAAAATATTTGCTTCACGTTAAACAATCGTAAAGCAACATTGATAAGGGCACGAGATTGACCAAGTGTGTCAGTGCTCTTAATTTTAATGCTGGTTAAAACTCAATGCCAATATTTTCTTTTTCTATTTCACAAGATCGTATGCCTTTTCTCGCATACAGAAATAGATATGTGACATTTCTTTGCCTTTTTTTGTTAAACTGATTGAATGACTTGATCACAGTCTCAGTGCAAGAGATCTGGTCCTTACTTATCTATTCTCTTACCCCATTGAACTGCCAGTTTACTTTATAATCTTCCAGATCTTACCTTAACTGAACAGCTAAAATTGACGTACATTTTATATTTGATTTAGTCAGCAGAATTCAATGTACAAGCAGCTCAGCAAGGGATGATTTACATTGATGAAGTTGACAAGATAACAAAGAAGGTATTCATGATTCTTCGTTGTATCAATATCTTTTCTTTATAGTGATCTACTATATCAACGTAAACCTGGTTATTATTTCTCAGGCTGAGAGTTTAAATATTAGCAGAGATGTTTCTGGTGAGGGCGTTCAACAGGCATTATTGAAGATGCTAGAAGGAACCGTGAGTCAATAAAACTTTTGTCTTTTCCAATGCATTACTATTCCCAATTTAATGTGTTAAAGAAAAAATTGTTACGCCATATCGGTTGTGATTTCTTTGTTCTTTTTCGAGTACTTCATCTTTTCATATTGGCATTAGTTAACTATTTTATACACAAAATTTCGCTTTAGCTGGAGATGCTTGTTGTCACAATTGAACCCTATTGAGACTCACAATGCGACACTTACTCTCACCCTCACCCTCGAGTAAGTTGGCCAACTAAACCTTGGGTCATTGGTGGCTCAAACGGCCTATAATTTAACTTCTATCTTGTTCTTGAAAAGTGGTTTTAAAAAACGGAATTAGAGAAAGTTTTGGGCAACATTTTGAAAGCAATTTGAAAAAGCAAATGGTATAAGCTAGCAAGCTATAAGGAACAATAACATTGATAACTCGGCTGCGAAAATTTGTCGCCTAGTCATAACCCCCTATAGTACATTCTGATGCAAATTGTATAAATACCAACACGGGTGAGGAGTCATATGCTTACAAAATTACAAGGAAAATCAATAAATACACTAGAATGAAAGGTATACCATGAAAGTAAGTAAGAGGGTTTAGTATGGGTATGCAGCACGGGCAACATGCCCTAGACAAGCATGACTATGTCATCCTTCCCCTTTGTCAACCAACCCTACTCGAACTCAACAATGTGAATAGCAACTGACTTTAGGTCTTCAACGCATTCTCCACTGATCTCTGCGCCCCTTCCACTGTGCAAGGAACTCATGCATATCTCTTTTCAGTTGCCTATTCGTCTTGTCCTCTCATCTAGGATCTCTTCCACTTCTTTTTTGACAATATTATTCATAGTGACAGGAGGCTCTTGGGTTCCCTTTCTCATGACAATATTATTTGGACCTTGTGTTCCCTTTTCTCATGAGAGGGCTAGTGTAGTTTGCTTCCTAGGGCAGGCATAGACCAAAATTAGGAACGTCTACTTTTTATCTTTTTTTTTTTTTTTTTTTTTTGAAGAAAGTATATTTTCATTGATTGAATGAATATACGAAAAGGGAGGGAAAAAACCATCTTGGATTGATTACAAAAAACTTCTCCATCGAGCAATAATATTCAAAATACTATAATTGAATAGGTGGTTCCTTTCTCTCCTTAGGAACTCTGTAGAATCCAAAAAGATTAGGAATGCCTCTAGGGTGTTGTGGTAGAATTATAGATTTGTATGTACGGCGTGTTCTCTAAATTCCACCTTATATACAGTAATATCATAGTTTCACATCTGCTGAAAGTTAAATTTATATTTTCCAAATCCTTTTTTAATGGAAGTTTTCAACAAATTAATATAGCTTCTTGCTTAGCAACTCGGTAGGACTATGGAATATTGGAATTTGTTTATGTTTCCATTAAGACCCAAATTATCAAATAAGAAAATGAGATTCATGCATCTCTATTAGACTCATTGGAGTACCCAGCTCATGTGTTTGTCCATCTAAATGATTCATTGGTTATTTCTACCCTTTTAGTCTTGTTGATTCTAAGTTTTCTGTTCTGTTATCTGTGTGGTTAATTGTAATTAAATTTCCAAAAATGGAAAAAGGAATATGGATCATATTGTACTAGTTTTAGCTTTATATTTTTTCTTCATCCTAAATTCTGCGTATGAATTTTTGTCTAGATAGTAAATGTTCCTGAGAAGGGGGCAAGGAAGCATCCTCGGGGTGATAACATTCAGGTAATATATTCTCAAAAAAACACTCTCGAATGTTACTGTGTATTGTAGTGTGGGTGAATGCTCAAGTCCGTGATCAAACTTGAGTTGGTTTGGTTTCATAAAGGGATAGCCTCACCTTAAGTTTGTCAGATCCAAAAGCCTCTAGAAAGGGTATTGGGGCAAGGGATGCCTTGTGGTTTGCCATGGTTCAAATGTTGGGAGCCCGACCAAGCTAGGATATGTATATACCTCAAGGATTACAATGCACCTTTTTTTTTTTTCCTTCTTTTTACAGGAAACTACATAAACAAGATTTGCATCTATCACTTCTTTAAAGAAATTTGAAACTTTTATGTCTTCTCATCATAATTTGTTACTGCAAGGATTAGTTTTTTTACATATAATTTCATATATAGGATAGAAGACATTTCACTGATTGCTAGAGGTTTTGGGTTTGGGTTGGACAGCTAGGCTCCCTCTGCTGTATATTGTACTGTCGGACTGGAATTAATGTTACCTTTTACCATAAATAGTTTCCTTAGACGTCTTACCCCGTTTCTAACCTTTTAACCTTACGGTTCATGTAACCCTTTCTGGGGTTTGATGTTGGTTATTGCTTTGAGATATTATCTCTTAACCGAGTTGAAAAAATCTGCAGATAGATACAAAAGATATTTTGTTTATATGTGGCGGAGCGTTCGTAGATCTAGAAAAGACAATCTCTGATAGGTAGCTTATTAAGTATTTTCCATTACTCTCATTTTATCTGTGTTCAAGGGTGCTTTCTCAATACTAAAATGGTTTTTGTTACTGATCAGACGGCAAGATTCTTCTATTGGTTTTGGAGCACCTGTTCGTGCTAACATGAGAATGGGCGGGGTAACAAGTGCTGCAGTTACATCATCATTATTGGAAACGGTGACAAGAAAATCCCTTTGGCATTAAATTTCTGCATTGATTTATTTATTTCACATGTTTTGAATTTATAATCAATGCATATTACTTTATTTTTGAGATGATAAAATGGTCAGAATCCCTTTAAAGTTTATGTAAACGTTGTATTTGGTGCTTTTCAGGTTGAGAGTTCTGATCTTATAGCATATGGCCTCATACCCGAGTTTATTGGGCGTTTTCCAATTCTTGTTAGCTTATCAGCCTTAACTGAAGACCAGCTTGTCCAGGTATCATAATAGTTTCAAGTTGTTCATCTAGACACTACATCGAAGAGATAATTTTATTAGAGATTGTAGCTACTTTCAATATCAATAAACTTGTTATTTAGTTAGCAATTACGTTCATTTGAAATTTTGTCTGAATTGTCCTCATTGCATCTGTATTGAGATAAGATACTCCTAAGCTTCCATTGCCTGTCTCAATCCGTTTTCCATGAGTTAGCGAACATCGTGTTGCATATTTTTCTTGTCATACATGGATGCCGATAGATAGTTCATCTTAATAATGAAATGTGCACGTTATGCATGCAGTTGATTCTCTTTGACGTTTTCTTTCTATAACCAAAATGAGTACGAAAGTTTCCTTGGACCTGCTGTTGTTAACAGGTCCTCACTGAACCGAAGAACGCTCTTGGCAAGCAGTACAAGAAGTTGTTTAGCATGAATAAAGTGAGTATTTACTTTCTGATGTAGCCGATTTCTACACTGAACCCTCTCCCTTTGCATCTCTCCTGTCACTGTGGAGTAGACCCTCTTAGTTGAACCGTCATTAAATTCCCAGGTGAAACTGCATTACTCAGAGAAAGCGCTGAGACGGATTGCCCAGAAAGCAATGAACAAGAATACTGGTGCCAGAGGATTAAGAGCCATACTAGAAACCATTCTTACTGAAGCCATGTATGAGGTATTGAAGCTGAAATCATCAGTGTATAGCAATGGGGTCCTATAATACCCTTGGTTTAATCTCATTTTTATTCTCAAATGTTTAGATTCCAGATGTTAAGACTGGAGACGATAGAGTAGATGCTGTTGTTGTCGATGAAGAGTCCGTTGGCTCGGTAAATTTGGCTAGTTGTGGAGGGAAAATTCTTCGTGGGGATGGAGCATTGGAGCGCTACCTGGCTGAGACCAAGTTGAAAGAATCACAGGTACCGTTTCTTTCAGATATGTCTTTCATTTGAGGCAAATGATTTGCTCTAAAAAGAAGTCAAACACCCTTTTGAATTCTACCCTTCACCCTTCTAATTGTTCCTAAAATAATACCCTCTTGGCCCTTCTTATGAATCTAAGGGCTTACTCATGGTACAATTTGTTTGTAGGATAATTTGGAGGTGATTGAGTTACCGGAAGGTGAGACAGAGCTGTCATCAAGAGCCGTGAGTATATAGAAACAACGTCAAGATAACCACGATAGTTCTAAAATACATTTGTTTTCCCTTTTTTGGGTTTATGGTTTTTCTGGGGGGAAAAACAATAAAATACATTCATAACAATATATGGTGTAATTACCCCATTCTAACACCGCATACCTCAGGTTCAGTTCATTGTATTAGGGAAGATGAAGGAAAGAAGGCATTCATCATTTAGGCTATAACATCATCTATGTCTAAATAAATCTCTAAAATGCATTAAATTATAAAGGTAGTCTTTGAATTTTGATTTTGTCTATTTACTTTGATCTTTCAATTTGATTCACAGTCTATTAGTGTTACGCACACACAATTGCTTAATCATTGATGTGATACTGGAAAGTGAGCCATGAACTAATGTTTGTCTATTAGGCTTAAGATAATAGCCCAAGTTGTTTTGTCCCACTAACCAAAACAACTTGGCGCCAATCTCAACCGACTCCTCTGATCCAGCAGCTCTAGCAGACAGCAGGTCTCTCTGTCCGAATATGTCCATGGGAATTTGGTCGGCCCACATCCCCACCTATTCAATTCAACATATATGCCTCTATGAGAAATGTTATTGTCCCCTCAACTTGGGTTTTCAAGTTTCTGTTCAGTATATGCGTCTATGAGAAATGTTAAAGAAAAAGATGATAGGATGAACATCTTCACAATGTAGTAGTAGGTATAGTAGGTGCAGGTATCTTATAGGTTTGAGCTTCAATCAGTGCTAGGAAGTTGTCCAAATCCCTATTGTTAAGGATAGTTGACCGTTCATTAAGGCAAATATCTAGATATTTGCCTTACATTACGGGTTACCATATTTTCTCTTTTACTAAATGCAAATATATTGTATTCATTTATTATTCTTTCCTTTTATCGCTATTTCCTTATTATTTGTAATTTACCTTATTTCTGTATTCTGTAAATGATTATAAATAAGAGAACTCTCACCACCATTTGGGTGTGGTGGATTAATCAAACATTCACATGGTATCAGAGCGAGGTGGTGGAACCATAGTTCCATCGACATAGCCCAGCATGTCTTGACTCTCAAGAAGAGGGAGAAGTTGGCTTTTCCAAAGAAGATAATTGGAGGAAGAAAGTTTGATGGTGATCATATGGATTAGAGTATTGAAAGGAAGAAGATGATAACAAGATTCGGAAGCCATAGAGAAGAAAGGATCAGGGTTGTTAAACCGAAAGGGCTCTGATACCATGTATCAAGGTATTTCAAAGCGATGGTGGTACCGAATTTACTAGTACTTGTTTCAAAACTCATTTACGTAATTCTGGCATCCACCATCAACTCTCTTGTCCATATACACCTGCTCAAAATGGTCGTGTTGAGAGAAAACATCGTCATGTGACTGAGACTGGCTTGGCCCTTCTCTTTCACTCTCATCTTTCTCCTCGTTTTTGGGTTGACGCCTTCAGCACTGCAGCTTATATTATCAACCGGTTGCCTACTCCACTTCTTGGAGGTAAGTCACCCTTTGAACTCCTTTATGGCTACACTCCACATTATGACAATTTTCATCCCTTTGGTTGTCGTGTTTATCCTTATTTGCGTGATTATATGCCTAACAAGCTTTCTCCCCGCAGCATTCCTTGTATTTTTTTGGGTTATAGTCCTGTTCATAAAGGGTTCCGCTGTCTTGATCCCGCCACCACTAAGCTATATATCACCTGCCATGCTCAATTTGATGAAACTCACTTTTCTGCTATCCCTAGCTCCCAAGCCCAACCTCTTTCCACTATTCCTATTTCAAATTTCTTGGAACCACATCTTCATCATATTGATTCATCCCCCCCTACCACTTCATCACCGCACATTCCTCAATCCAGTTCATCCCCGTGTGATATTTGTTCTGACCTTGTAGATGAGTCTGTGCAGGTTGATACTTCTCTTGCAGGTTCCACTTTGTCACCCTCGACTTCTAATTCAACCTCTATTGAACCTCCTGTTGATTTCTCTTCTTTGGGCACTCATCCTATGATCACACGCGCCAAAGCTGGTATATTCAAGACTCGTCATCCAGCAAATCTTGGTATGTTGGGCTCATCTAGACTTCTCTCTGCTCTTCTTGCATCCACTGAGCCAAAAGGATTCAAATCTGCGGCTAAGAATCCTGCTTGGGTGGCTGCCATGGATGAAGAAATTCGAGCGTTACAACAAAATGATACTTGGACTTTGGTTCCTCGCCCTGCCAACACCAACATCGTGGGCTCTAAATGGGTGTTTCGTATTAAATATTTGCCCGATGGATCCGTCGAGCGTTTCAAGGCTCGTCTCGTTGCCAAAGGTTATACTCAGGTTCCTGGTCTTGACTACACTGACACTTTCAGTTCAGTTGTCAAAGCTACCACTGTCCGTGTTGTGCTTTCTATTGCAGTCACAAATAAATGGCCTCTTCGACAACTTGATGTCAAGAATGCTTTTCTCAATGGAACGCTTATTGAACGTGTTCATATGGAACAACCTCCTGGGTATGTTGATCCTCGATTTCCAAAGCATGTTTGTCTATTAAAGAAAGCTCTCTATGGCTTAAAGCAAGCTCCTCGTGCTTGGTTTCAGCGTTTTAGCTCATTTCTTCTCACACTTGGGTTTTCTTGTAGTCGCGCTGACACGTCCCTTTTTGTCTTTCATCAGCAATCTAACATTATCTATTTGCTTCTTTATGTTGATGACATTATTGTTACCGGCAACAACTCATCTCTTATTAACAGCTTTACTCGCAAGCTTCATTCTGAGTTTGCTACCAAAGATTTGGGTTCTCTCAGTTACTTTCTTGGTCTTGAAGCTTCACCCACTCCTGATGGTCTCTTTATCAGTCAGTTAAAATATGCTCGAGATATTCTTACTCGTGCTCAGTTGCTCGATAGCAAACCAGTTCACACTCCCATGGTTGTTTCTCAACACCTGACTGCTGATGGTTCTCCTTTCTCTGATCCTACTCTCTACAGATCTCTTGTTGGCGCCCTTCAGTACTTGACTATCACGCGTCCAGATATTGCCTATGCTGTCAATTCTGTCAGTCAATTCTTGCATGCCCCTACTGCAGATCACTTTCTTGCTGTCAAACGTATTCTTCGCTATGTCAAAGGAACACTCCACTTTGGTCTTATCTTTCGTCCATCCACTGTTCCTAGTACGCTAGTCGCTTATTCGGATGCTGACTGGGCTGGTTGTCCCGATACTCGTCGTTCTACATCCGGCTATTCTATTTATCTTGGTAACAATCTCATTTCTTGGAGTGCCAAAAAGCAACCTACTGTATCACGCTCCAGCTGTGAATCTGAGTATCGTGCTCTTGCCACAACTGCTGCTGAACTTCTTTGGGTTACGCATCTTTTGCATGACCTCAAGGTCCCTATTTCACAGCAGCCCTTACTCTTATGTGACAACAAAAGTGCTATTTTTTTGAGCTCTAATCCTGTTTCTCACAAGCGGGCCAAGCATGTTGAACTAGATTATCATTTCCTTCGAGAACTTGTTATCGCTGGCAAACTTCGTACACAATATGTACCCTCTCATCTCCAAGTTGCTGACATCTTCACAAAGAGTATTTCTCGACCTCTCTTTGAATTTTTCAGATCCAAGCTTCATGTTCGTTCAAATCCGACGCTCAGCTTGCGGGGGGGTGTTAAGGATAGTTGACCGTTCATTAAGGCAAATATCTAGATATTTGCCTTACATTACGGGTTACCATATTTTCTCTTTTACTAAATGCAAATATATTGTATTCATTTATTATTCTTTCCTTTTATCGCTATTTCCTTATTATTTGTAATTTACCTTATTTCTGTATTCTGTAAATGATTATAAATAAGAGAACTCTCACCACCATTTGGGTGTGGTGGATTAATCAAACATTCACACCTATTAACACCCATAATCAGGCAAACTTGGATCTCAAATCTTTGGAGAGTCTCATAATAACACCATGTTCTTAACAACTGCCAAATAGTGAGCAGGCAGTAGAAGACTCCACAGTCAAACTAGACAATAGACATGACCTCCGATACAAAGGCTGAAGTGGTGAAAGATCAACATAACAACTACTTAAGCATGCCATCATCCATCCATTTATCAACATTCATAACCTCCAGAGATAGAGCATCGCTTATATTAAGAATAGTAAAAGCACAACCAACAGCATCAACAATCAGTAATAATTTGGGGACGAACAGGAAACAGAGATACAGCAGCAATTAGATGGAGAAAAACAGGCAAGAAACGAGATATAGAAATGAACGAACGAATTCTGGAGGATTCTGTTGCAATATATTATTTATGGAATAGATCTTAGATATTATATCTTAATATTATTTTCTTTATGATTTCATTTAGAGTATATTTGATTTTATTTTTAATATTTAATTAGTTTATATTTTCTTTGTTGTTAGGTATTAGTTTCTGGCTTGTATCCTACTTAAAGGTTATGAATATTAATGAGAATAAATATCTTTCCAATTCTATTTCTATTTTTCATTCTTAACATGATATTAGAGCACCGATCTTGGTATTCCTAATACCCCCTGGACTTACTCAAAGTCCAAGGGAAGTATTAAACCTAAAGCCAAATCCTAACTCAATTAGTGAAGTCTTTATCATCGCCGATCATCCAATATCAAAAATACGTTATAAGCATCTTCAAATTTCTCACCAAGCTAAAAGGTGGTATATTCAAGATGTTCGTATTTTCTTTTACAACCTCTAAAGTGATCCAGAGCACCGATCTTGGTGTTATTATCCAACTTCAAAACTTTGGAGGTTTATTTAACACATTCTTATTATATTCATCACTCTGACTAACTAGAATATTCTTTTTGTTCCAATCAAATTAAATGGGACAAAGAGTATTCTTTGTGTTCCAATCAAATTAAATGGGACAAACAGTATTCTTTTTGTTCCAATCAAATTAAATGAGACAAATTACGAATTCTAGAGTAAATCATTTATGCATGAATCAAGAAGCAGCTCTTCAAGTTCTGAGATACATCAAAGGCGATCTATTTTTTGGTTTTGTATCTTTCATGGAAATTCAATAATTTCTTTAGCCTAAAAATGCAAACCAATTAATGTGGTCTATTTTTTAGTTTTGCATCTTTCTTGGAAATTCAATTAACAGCTACTCTGTTATAGCCATTTCTGTACATTCAATGTACTCTACGGATAGAGGAATACATAGAGTTGAACATAGTAAAATAAGAAATTGAAAGATTTCGTTGAAATTGTTCGTTTGGAAATTTCCCGAAAAGCTAATC